GCTGCACGTCCCTCAGGATCGCGGCGGGGTCGAGTTCCGCTGCGTACAGCGACGCGCCCTCGGCGTCGCTGCTGCTGCTGCTGCTGCTGCTGCTGCAGTGCTTGCAGCTGCTGCTGCTGCTGCTGCAGCAAACCCCACAAGGAGGCTCCTTCAGCAAAGCTCTTGTCTCTTGAGAAGGATGCAAATGGCGAGATCCCTGCAGCAGCAAAAAGGCTTCTTCTTTTCCAGAAAGGCCCCCCTCGTCCAGCAAAGCAAACGGGGAAAACACAGATCTGCGCAGCAGCAGCAGCAGCAGCAGCAGCAGCAGCAGCAGCAGCAGCAGCAGGAGTGCGAATGGAGCCAAAAGCTCCAAGCATGCAAAAGCGACTGTCTTCAAATTAACAGTTAAGGGAATGTGGGATTAAAATATCAAAAAGATTAAAAAGAAAAGATTTAAAAGATAAAAGAATAAAAAGGATAAAAGAAGAAAGAAAGAAAGAAAAAGATAGGAAAGATAAGCAAAAAACAAAAGAAAGAAAAGAGAAGCTGCTGCAGAAGCAGCAGCAGCAGCAGCAAGTGTGGGGCCCCGCACGTGATGTCATATATGCGCTGCTGCAGCAGCAGCTGCAGCTGCAGATCTGCTGCTCCCAGCAGCTCGTCAGCCCCCATAGCAGCACTGGAGACGTCGCGGTCGTACAAGGCCACCCGCAGCAAACTGCACGGATGATGCACCTGCAGCAGCAGCAGCAGCAGCAGCAGCAGCAGCAGCAGCAGCAGGGGCAGCAGCAGGGTTGTGGCAGCAGCAGGGATGGGGCAGCGGTTGCGGTGTAGCAGCGGAAGGGATAAGGCAGCAGCAGAGATGCAGCAGCAGGAGGGAGGCAGCAGCAGCAGCGAGGCAGCAGCAGCAGAAATGCAGCAATCAAGCACCAAGGAAGCAGCAGTGAAGCAGCAGAGAAGCAGCAGCAAAGCAGCAGCAGCAGCAGCAGTAGTGAAGTGAAGCAACAGCGAACCAGCAGCAGCAGCGCAGCGCAAGTAGCAGCAGCACTACAGCTATTGCAGCAACCATGCAGCCGCAGCAGGACTCGCAAAAGCAGCAGCAACAGCAGCCGCAGCAGCCAAAGCAGCAGCAGCAGCAACAGCAGCAGCAGCAGCAGCAGCAGCAAAGGCTCACCTGAATCTCAATTCGCTCATCCCACACTGCTTGCAAGCAGCCGTTTGGCCCCGCGGGCTCGCAGCGCAGCACAGCGCTTCTGTAGATGTCTTTCCCGTTGAGGCTCACGACAACTGCAGCAGCAGCAGCAGCAGCAGCAGCAGCAGCAGCAGCAGCAGCAGCGGGAAGTGCAGGGCAGCAGGTGGGGCTTGGGGCCTGCGGAGCGGCCTGTCTGGTGTACAGACAGCTGCGCTCCTTGGCTCTGCGCCCTCTACGCAACTAATGCATGCATTTGCATGCATGCATTTGCATGCATGCATTTGCATGCATTCATTTGCATGCATGCATTTGCATGCATGCATTTGCATGCATGCATTTGCATGCATGCATGAGGGTTTATTTGGTTCCTAGGGTTTCCTGTGGTTCGTTAGGGCTCATTAGCGTTTATTAGGGTTTACTAGGGTTTACAAAGGGTTTATAAGGGTTTACTAGGGTTTACTCAGCTTTATGAGAGTTTATTAGGGTTTACTAGGGTTTACTAGGGTTTGCTGTGGTTTAGGGTTTAGGGTTTAGGGTTTAGGGCCAGCTTGGAGTGTACAGACAGGCATGCAGAGCTGCTGCCGGCGCAGCGGAGAGGGAAAGAAAGCCAGAGAAGCAGCAGCAGCAGAAAAGCAGCAGCAGCAAAGCAGCAGCAGCAAAGCAGCAGCAGCAAAGCAGCAGCAGTATATTAGCAGCAGCATAGCAGCAGCAGCACAGCAGCACCAAGTAAAACTGCAGCTGCAGCAGCAGCAGCAGCACGGCAGCAGCAAGCAAGCTGCACTAGCAGCAAAAGAGAAACAGCAGCAGCAAAACAGCAGCAGAATAACAGAAGCGAGCAAGCAGCAGCAGCGGCAGCAGCAGCAGCAGCGGCAGCAGCAGCAGCAGCGTGACGAACTGTAGGGCCTCAAGGGGACGCAAAGAGACGCCGGAGTTTCTCCCGTGTCTTGCTGCTGCTGCTGCTGCTGCTGCTGCTGCTGCTGCATCTCCTCAAAAGGCCATTCTTCTTCTTGAAGCACTTCGGGGACCAAATAGCCCAGCAGCAGCTGCAGCCGCGCGTACCCCAGCTGTACATACACCCCACACCCCACACCCCACACTTCTGCTGCTGCTGCTGCTGCTGCTGCTGCTGCTGCTGCTGTGCAGCAGATCTTCGCACCCCAGTACCCCCCTTTCTCCGTTTTTTTCTGTCTCCTTTCCCTTTTATTTCTTTTTATTTCCATTTCATTTTTTAATTTCTATTTTATATTTCTTTTAGTTCTTTTTTATTTATATTTATTTTTTATTTCTTCTATTTCTTTTATCTTTCATCTTTTCCTTTCCGTCTCCTTTCTACTTCTTTTCATTTCTGCCTCCTTCTCTAAACCCTCTCTCCAAAACCCTCACAAAACCCTCACAAATATCTTTCTAAAACCCTCACAAAACCCTCACAAATATCTTTCCAAACCCTCCAGAAACCCCGCAAAACCCCCACAAAACCCTAAACCCTAAACCCTAAACCCTAGACCCTAAACCCTAAACCCTCAACCCCCCAAAACCCCTCCAAAAACCCTAAAACGCCCTCCATAAACCCTAAAAGCCCCTCCAAAAGCCCAACAAACCCTCCGAAAACCCTAACACCCCCTCCAAACCCTAAACCCCTCTGTAAACCCTAAACCCTTTCTCCAGAGTCCACTCACTCTATAAAAAGCACTTGCTGCTTCTTCTGGAAATGCCAAACAAGCCAAACGACTAAAACCCTTCACTGCAGAAAAGGCCCTAAACGCTGCAGTGGAACACCGGCAAACCTTCCCTTCTCCCATATCCACTCCCTCCTGGGGGCCCCAGGGGGCCCCCCCGGGGGCCCCCTCGGGGGCCCCCCCGGGGCCCCCCCCCGGG